ACTAAAGAGAAGGTAAATTAAGGCTATGTTTGGTAGACCAATAAGGTAGCTTATAGCTTATTTGATTAGCTTATAAGCTCTCTGTATTTAGATAAGCTCTGTTTGATAGAACGATCTTATTTAAAAAGCTCGAGCTTATTTGATAAACTTCTTTTAATAGCTTTTCAAAGAAGCTAGTTGAAATTTTTATTCCAGCTAGCTTATCAGCTAATTTTACCAAACACTTTTATCAAATAAGCTAGCTTTTCAGCAATAAGTCATAAAATATAAGTATAAGCTCGAAAATTACAAATAAGCTATATGCTAAATTAGTTTTACCAAACATAACCTAAAATATTTTAAAATTTATATAATTTTAATATTATATATACTATTATGTATATATTTATTTTAAAATCAAACTGTGTATTTATACATTTGTGACAAATAGTATATATATAATTTTACTATATATAATAGTATATGTACACATTTTGTATATATTTATAATTTCTAAGTGTTAACTTTAAGATAATAAATTCTAATTTATAACATAAAAAAATCTAAATTTTAATATAATTATAAAAAAAATTGCACGGCCTACAGGCAAAACCGGCAAAATCGGCCATACACAGTACGACCAACCGACTGTGCTCGGTCACCGGCCGCGCACGGTGCCACAACCGGCTATATAAAACTCCCTGCTCACATACAGCGATGACAAAGTACGAAGGAATTTAAATGAGTTGTTTCTATTATAAATATATGAAATTACCACTAATATTAATATATATGTTGTTACTTGAAATGTGTGCCAATAGGCTCAAACTTTTGCCTATAAAAAGGCATCTTCAGCTTTGTATAATTGGTACCGAAAAGTGAAGGAAAAGTGAGGAAGAAAGAATAGCTTTCTGAAATTTTGATCCGGTTTTTATACATTGTGTTCTTTATATTCCCCGTATTTCATAACACGTTATCAGCACGAGCGCTCTACCCGGTCAAGAAAGTAATGTGGCGTAAAATTTATAGCTGTTTATTCTTGTATCCACCGAAAGATTTAT